GATTTCTATTACAAAAAAAATTACAAAAAAATTACACTATAACTTAATTACAAAAAATTACAAAAATTTCTTTTATTATTAAACTTAATGACAAAAAATTACAAAATTATGTGAAATTATACTATGTTCCCAATTATATTATAATTTCGATTCCAATAAATTTATTTTATTATTATTTATTTCTTATATACTTATGTATATATACTTATATAAAAAATTTAACTATAAATTCAGGAGTTATTTGAAATGATCTAAATAAATATATTTTTAACTTTTTTATAAAATTATATGCAATGTGACAGACAAGCGATATAACCCAAATAAAATAAAAAGATGTGCTATCCAAACAACCTCTAAATGTCTCCTTTAAAGATTTTCTTTAAAGATTTAAAATTGTGTAACATGCACTATTATTATCGATAAATTTTCATTTTATTTTATATTTAAAGTAAAAACTTAAAATTCTCAATCTGATCCATAAATCCATCCTAACGATTTCACCTAAGATCTCGATTTTAATAACCTTGTTGTGAAATGGTCTAGCTTGTGAAAATTTATTTTGTGGTTTGGAGAAAATTTTATGAGGCAATCTAACTTAAATTTTATTGATTAAAACAACCAAATTTAGTAGTTTTGTGTTGATTTTTAAGGGATAACATAAAAAGCATTATGATAAATGGTGTGAAATATTATTTCATGTTCACCAAATAATCTCCATAGTCCGTGCCTCTGCATATATTGGGACTAGATGGTTAGGTGACAAGAATGGGTTAATTTTTTTTTAATTTAATTTTTAAAAATATTTTCTGATTAATGAATTTATTAGTGATGAAATTTTAAATATATAAGATGAAAAATTGTGAAGTGAAATTAAATGACAAATGTCAAATGTCAAATTTTAATATTTTATATTTAAAAAAATAAAAAAATAAATTACATACATTATATTTAACAAATATAATTAAAATTAGAGCGGGATAAAATAATATAGGGAAGGAAATCCGTTCCCATTCCACTTACTCATCGGGAGTAAGAAAAACCCAAACATCCAAAGTTGCAATTGTCTACTACGGGCTTTTGTTAAAAATCCTGAGCAAATTTACAATGCTATATAGAATTCAGTTGAGGACTCACTCACAGGTCCATTCACCAACAGGCTTTAAAAGAGCCCAACTCATCATCATCAACATCTAATTGTGTGTTTTTGGAAATTTTAAAGCAAAACAAATGAAAAAAATCTCTCATGGGACGAGAACACACTAAGCTTTGAATTAATAAAACTGTTGGGGGAAGTGAAATGATTGGAGATTAACCCGAAAAAATTTGAGACTGGAAGAGTAAACTGTACAAAATATCCTTGGCAGGGAAGTTAAGAGGAGAAATCAGAGAATCTTAGATTAACATAAATTGGTTTCACCCTCGCACTCATGTATTATATTTAAATCTTGAATTTGTGAACTAATTTACAATACAAAAAAAGTTACTTTTAGTAACTAAAATATTGGTCGCCAATTGTCTGTTTTTTGGTCGCCAATGACATTCTGCGACTAAAAATTTTGGTTGCTACGTTTGTCGCCAAAACCCTATCGGGAAAGGTCTTGGAGGGTTTTGCCGACCAAAAAATCTTTAATCGGCAAAAAGAAAGTCTTTAGCGACCAAAATTTTGGTCGCCAATGGTCAATTATATTTCTTTAAAATTATACATTTACTGACTAGTGTTTTAGTCGCCAATAGTCAAGGAATTGCCGACCTTTTTGGTCGGCAAAAAGAAAGTCTTTAGCGACCAAAATTTTGATCGCCAATGGTCAGTTATATTTCTTTAAAATTATACATTTACTGACCAATGTTTTAGTCGCCAATAGTCAAAGAATTGCCGACCAACACCTTTGCTCGCCAAAAGCTTCAAACGTGAAAAAATAAAATAATTTGTTATAGAACAATTTTTTGATCTGCTTTTGTGGAGACTCGAACCGCCAAACTTCCCTCACCATAAACCTTATGCACCACACTCTAGCCACTACGCCTCTATAGCATAACATGATTGTATATACACCCATATTAATATAAAAATATATGCATAAACATAATTATTTTATTACATAATTTATGTAAAATAAACTATTTAGTAGCAAAATAAAAAAAAAAACTTTTAGTGACCAAAATAATTTTAGTCTCTAAAAATGACCACTTTCGGCAACTAAACTTATTTTTTTTGTCGCCAATTGTAGACTTGTGGGTACTAAAAATTTTTTCGTCACTAAAAAGCTTTACTTTTGGCTACTAAAATTTTTTTAGTCGGTAAAACCCATATAATCAACGACCAAACTTATTTTTAGTCGCCAATTGTAGACTTTTGGCTACTAAATTTTTTTAATCGCCAAAATACTTTACTTTAGGCTACTAAAAATTTTTTAGTCACTAAAACTCATATAATCAGCGACCAAACTTATTTTTAATTGTAGATTTTTTGCTATTAAAATTGTTTAGTCGTCAAAAAGACTTATTTTTGGCTACTAATTTTATTTTGGTAGCTGAAAACTATACTTTTAGCGGCCAAATTTTTTTTAGTTGAGAAATTTGGACGCCGAATGTGTTTTTTTCTATAGTGTTACAAAAAGGAAAAAAAAATTGAACTAAAAAATGTTTTTTTTTTCCGTCTAGTTCGATTGGGTTGGAAAGAGAAGAAAAAGAAATGAATGAAAAAAGCTATACCTATTTGTCACCAAATTTGTTTTGCTTCTTCCTTGTATTCATACAATAAAAGTTATGCCTATTTGTAAAATGTATGATATTTAAAAATTAGGGGGACTTATCATGCTTTGTAAAAAATTACATAGAAGGTGAAGAATACTAATGATATATGTATCTATCTATTTTCTATTTATCTATCTATATTATTATAAAGAGAAGCCTTCTCTTAGCGTTTATGTCTTATATTTTAAGTTTTTTCAAAATACGTCTCTATCAGACATGCTTTAAATTTAATTTACTTTATTTTTTATTTTCAAATCTTGAACTTTTGATTTTTGTAAATTCATTTTAATTTTTAGATTTTGAATTAAATCATACATTTTTTTTTTGTCAATCGATATGACACAAATATGAGAAATTTTACATTATCAAATAGGCTACTAACCCATAATAGTTAGAAAGTTAATAAAATATAACAACCAATTACCACGCCTACCAAGCCCAAACCCAACAACTATCACTAGTTACATGCAACCCACAAACAATTACCATGTCCACCATTCCCAAGCTCAACAACAATCACTAGTTACATACCATTCACATAATATGGGAGAAATAAACGACTATAAAGGGCATCAAACTCTTTTTTATAAGAGTTAAATCTACAACCTCACATCACAAAAAGTGTTATACAACTATTAAGTCAAATGTTTTGTCAATTCAATCATATAGTTTACAATCTATAAAATGATCATATGTGCATGCATTGTGTGCACCACTGCTTCTAGTATACTTATATAGCAACCCTTAAAATCATTTTTTTTGGTATACTTATATATTTATACATAAACTTTTCAAAAAAAAAAATGTATATATATTTTCATTTACTTACCTATAAAAAATGAATTTGTAGCCTCACATACTTCTTTTATGAAGTCTCCGAAGGAAAGGAGTATATCAAATCCAATATGCACAATAAAGAATACAGGATTATGAACATCTCAACTCAATTACTCTACAATACTATCACATTCTTATACACTAAAATTCAAGCAAAAAACACAATAAATTGTTGGAGCATGTGTAAATAAAGTTTTCAAAATCTGATAAGAAGTAAATAGAAAAACACAATAAATTGTTGGAGCATGTGTAAATAAAGTTTTCAAAATCTGATAAGAAGTAAATAGAATGCATGAACTCTTTATTTATAAACTTAAATTTTTAAATAAATTAGCGGGTGGCACACGAGATACATGTTCAATTTAAATAAATAAAAATAAATAATAAAGAAATTAATATCATAATATGTAAGTTGCTTTAATGGTAAGTTTGTCCTCAATAAAACCCAAGATCTTGGTTTAAACTTTCCTTGCGTTGTAACATAATAATTGTTTATTTTAACATAAACAAATTTGCCATATTACATAAGAAGAAGGTTTAGAAATTTGGATACCAAATTCAGTATTCATGTATATAATAGTATAGATATAAGTTACAAAATAAAGTTTGTTAGGTCCATGCATCACCCTCTACTTGTATATGCTCCTAAAAATAGAAGACATTTTACAACAGAAACCTTGGCAATTACAACTTTGTTTCCTTTCTTATCTTTCAACATTCACTACAAGAATTAACACTTTTGGCAACAAAAAAATTGGTCGTTAAAAGTCTATTTTTGGTCGGCAAAAGTTATCCGCGACCAATTTTTTTGGTCGCTACTTTGGTCGCCAATTGAGGGTCGGCAAAAGTAATTCGCGACCAAATTTTTGGTTGGCCGGCAAAAGTTGGATTTGCCGACTAAATTTTTGGTCGCTAAATATTTAATTACCGCGACTAATTCATTTTGTCGCTAAAACACTTTGGTCGCGAAAAGTGATATTTTCCCGACCAAATATCTTAGTCGCCAATTGACACATTTCGCGACCAAAAAATTTGGTCGCCAATTATCACATTTAACGACGAAAAAGTTTGGTCGCCATTTGTTACTTTTCGCGACCAAAACTTTGGTCGGCAAAAGTGAGTTTCCACGACCAAGAGCTGTTTTGGTCGGCAATAGATGTATTTTTTGCGATCAAAACTCTTGGTCGGCAATTGTCATTTTTTGCAAAAAAAAATTATTTTGGATGTTGCGACTAATAAATTGGTCGCCAAAGCAGGAAAACAATACACCTGTAATTTCTAATAATTCATTCAATCCATAATAAACCTATAATTTTAAAGCATCATTCAAATTAACTGAATCATTAATATTCGACACAATACATAATGCATTAACATTCGACACAATACAACTATTCTAAGTTTTCATTCACAAGTCACATCCATCTAGCATAACAATTTGAAACATAACTATTTGTTATCCATGCGCAGCTATCAACAAATAAAACTACTAATATTTGTTATCCATACACATCCATCCAAAAATATTTAATCCTCCCAAAAATGCTTATACTGCCAAGTAGTCTTGTACAATTTACCATGAGTTTTCTTCACCAGAAAATTGGCTTTCTAACTGAGCAAAGCTCCAAAAATCATAACTGAACCTGATCAGAAAATCCTGCCCCACGAGACATGACAATTGCCCATCTACTTCCTGCAGTAGCCATGGCAATTACATAGAATCCTTCCCTCCATTTTTTATTTATCCACTTGAATGGAAATGACTCGCTCACTTTATAGGATTGCTGTAAATATTGGGTACCTAGGTTTTAAAGTAGTGAAAGTGAGAACAACAGTAAGTGAAACATTAGTAGAAAGGAACTAAAATAAATTATTGAAACATTAGCTTACCTAAAAACATCTGGCCGTTGATCATAATCAACATGTAGACCAGTAGAACCATCACGCCACCTGGCTGCTGCATGTCAAAATGTGTTGTCAGAATAATGAAAAACTGGCATAATTCAGTATCGTACTGTGTCTTATATTTGTGCTGCAGAGAACAAATGTATATGGTAAAATTTACCCAATCCAAGGTCAACGAGGAACAGTTTTTTCTCATCAGGTGTCCCTAGCGGACCAAGCAAAAAGTTCTCAGGCTTTACATCTCTATGCACATATCTGCATAAAGTTGTAGCAGTCATATACAGACAATATACTTTAACAAGTGGAAATCGCTACAACTAAATAATAATAATTGGATTCTAAGTTTATTTACAAACATAGAAAGGGGAAGAAAGAAAAACCTCTCCTCACATCAAGGGAAATAAAAAAGAATATAAGCAAAATTAAAAAGTAAATGGGGTAAAAAAAGTCACCCTCTGGAGTGCATCTTCTCTAATATAGAGATTGCTTCAATGGCAATGCAGGCAACCATTTCAATGGACATCCTGAAGTTGGAAAACATAATAGAAGATTCAGAGATGTGCCAATTGGAACAAGAAACTATGATAAAAGGTATGTTCTTCAGAAATTAAATTTGAGAAGAAGCCTACGCGTGGGAGTTGTTATTCCAAACATCCCATAAACTAGGTCCAAGCATATCGATCACCTGCAATTATAGTGGTTTTTCGTTATAGCTTACTTATACTGATGCTCTTTCATTCTTCCCTTTATGATCACCAAAACTCATGGTACATGTTCAAGAGAAATCAGAAAAACCAAGTATAAACATTGGACATGGAGAGAGAATAACCTTCCAGCCATTCTTTCCATACAGCACTCTTCAATTGTGAAACACTATCAGCATTTATAAGAGAACCTATTCTGCTTTCAATCTCTTCAAGACTTATATCAGCCGGCTGCAAGTATTAAGCACACGCAATAGTGTAACACTCAGTGCTAGGTTGATGAGAACAAACAAGGAAAAGGACAAACATCAAATAGCTAAAATAAAATTATCAATGATTTACCTCAACGTCTTCAGGTTCAGCTGGTTTGGATGTTTTTAACTGTCCAACAGCATCTCCTTTCTTATTGACACCCGATTTTATTCAATTTTATTCAGTAGAACCAAGGCATTTTGTAATTCAATTTTATTCAGTAGAACCAAGGCACATCACCAAGAATAATACAATAAAATTAACGCATGAGATCTATTCCTGTGAACCTTTGTCGGAAAGAGGTACAGAGCACACGCTAACAAATTCTGGGACAATATTTCTAGTACTGGCAGATTGTAGCAAAGAGATTTCCCACTGGATGTCATTGTTGCCACAACTACATGCTTGCCAGCAAGGGAAGCCCGAACAGACTCCGCTTGCAGATACCAGAAGGATTAAAGTTCATTCAGAATTTTGGCTCAGAAAAGGATTGCAGTTCAAGATAACATCCATACCTGGTGGCTATAGAACCTAGTAATTCCAATACATTTCAGAGCAGATTTCATTTTCTCTGACAGTTCATTTGGGATTTCAACATGGCAGGCAACCCTGGCACTAATTTTTTCAACGTGCACCATCTGCATCAGAATAGTCCAGCACTCAGCACAGCATTCCACATAAGATTTAAATAGAAGGTGGTTTTTATATCCACATCGAAGGTTCCCAGGCCAAAGAGGTCTTAGTTTAATGTTTTTCAGTTAGATATTCCCAACCTCCAGTCCCAAGCCCCTCCCCAGACAAGATGAAAGAAAAAGAGAGAATAACTACAAAGGAAGAGACAAATGAAGAAACCTGTCCCCAAGCTCTAATGCCCTTTTTGAGATGTTCAACCATTTTCACAGGTAGCAATGGATTCGTATCCTACAAAGTCAATGGTTATTACAATGGCTTTTAGACACATTATCTTTGACTAAAGCCTAAAAGAAATTGAAAGTATCAACTGATCAACATAAACCCACAAAAAAAACAAAGGCTAGTCAAGGATCTAGTATCAGCTCCAAGTATATATGAGTATATGACAAGCTAATCTACACTACTCTAAAAAGCTCCTAATAAATAAAGAGAAACATCAAAATGCTTTTTATTTTCACTTTTTAAAAAGGACAAAAAGAATTCAACTATTTACAGCCAAACCTATGTTATATTTATTATATTATTCCATAAACACCCATGTTATTTTTCCTAAAACACATGTAGCGAAGTAAAATTTCACACAATCAATTTTTCAATTAGTAATAATAAATTCATTAGTAATAACAAAATTTCACACAATCAATTTCCTAATTTCAAACACTTTGCCAAGACTACAGCAACACTTCTCTAAACTTCATGGACGCAATTTAATCGATGAATCTCTTAATAGTAACAATGTTTGGCATTCTTCTAAATGCAACTTGCGCACTCCAAACATTTCGCAAACACATCTCTAAACTTCATGGATGCAACCTATGTGGAAAAGATAGGAAAAACACTTCTCTAAACTTCTAGAATTACCATGCCCAAACTCCAAATATCACTTTTATAGTCATAAGTTCTTCCACTAATTCTTTCGGGCTGCCAAAAGATAGGAAAAACATTATCACTAGTGGCATTCTTCAAATTACGAAATGCAAACTAGTTTGCATAAAAAGTTTGGAGAAAACCAAAATATTCTTAAACTACAAAACAAGAGAAGAATGATAACCACCTAAATAACTAGACCAACTAAATTCTGCTGCAAATACAAGGACAATAACTCCACTTACCGACATGTAGTTGTAAGTCCCAATAAATGTATCCCGTTGACCCATTAAATTGGCAAGCATTGCACTCATACCAAAACTTATTTGTATATCAATTTTTGTATTCCTAAACTTACTTGTATATCAATTGTTGACCCTACATCAACCAAAGAGTATCTGAAGAAGAACAAAGCTAATAAAGCTGTATATCTAATATAAAAAGAAGTTGATTCCTTAAAAAGACAAGGTCCAAAGACCACAAGTTGAACAAATTTGGGATATAATGTAGAAACAAATTAGTCACTAATTCGACATATCCCAAACATCAAACGCAGCCTAAATAGTCACTAATTCCTCGGTCTTGCACACTTTTCATTGAAGAAGTCTACCACTAGACTAGGGACTGTATTCTCTATTTTGTTACCTGCACAACTTTCTCATGTAAGAAACAAATCTCTGAATTTGAGAGCTGGAAACTTCTCATACCATATGCATATCCCTGGCTGCAAAAATAAAGAGGTCCACTTGGATCACATATGACTGCATAAAGCTTTCCGTATAAGCATAGAACAACTAATCTTAATTCAAAGTATAGAGGGTGTGGATGGAAAAAATAACTAAAAAATGACCAAAAAGAAATCATGGTTCATACATAACATAGTGTGAAACAATACTTGAGCAATCGAAGTGAAGTGAATTTGCTAAATTGAATTCTTGATGACATTTAAATGTAAAATACTCACTGTTTTTGACATTTAAATGAATTTTTTCAATACTTAGTATCTAATGTAAATCTTGAGTAATGAAGCAGACAGTAAAAGAAGTTTAATGAAATGGAAGCCAAGAATAGATCCCATTTACACAGTGCACATACCACATCGGAAAATATATATATATATATATATATGGAGAAACTGTATGTTATTAAAATTAGGCCTTCAATCCAAAGTCATTGATAAAGACTCATTGAAACAAACAGTGTGCAGTACATGGGTTTTCGAGAACCAAAAGAAAAAACAAAACAAGAAGTTAAATGTTTTAAACCTGATCAATCATGATCATCAAATGACCGTATCTCAAAGTCTTCACACTGTCATACTGTTTTCCATGCTGAAGTCCAAGAATCTGCTTGATGCTCTGAATTTCAACGTTCTCCATGATCTGTTTATGGCTTGCTTCCCTCACATTAAGCAATTTACCTCTCAACGGGAACACACCATAATAATTAAAATTACTTGAACCTGTAGTACTTATAAGACCACATTTCAAATTTGCTCTTTACCTAGGTCAAAACCTGTAGTACTTACAAGGAAACTTGATAGAAGTAATGACATTATGATCACCTAACTTTAGAGTTATGAATGGAGCAAATATCAGTAACTACATATGCAGAAAATAAGCATCTCAAATGATTTTGTTTTAATTATTTTATTTTTTATAACTGGTAGATTGAACACCTATTTTCATACCCAATCACACTCTTAGTGAAAATCCAATAGCAAGTCTCTCAATGTGATACTACAAGCCTGGCATTGAATCCAGCTTCATCCAGTTGGGGGAGTTACGGGACCATTGTGTAGTCCATCACCACACCACACCACACCACTGCACCAATATATACATAATAATAGATATTCCCTTAAACTTTGAAATTCAACAATACAACGGTAAAACCCAAAATCTTCATTCCAGTCCATGATATAAAGCAAGGAAGTTCAAAATGAACATCACAAATTACAAATAAAATATTTCTAACCTGAAGTGTCAATTTTTGGTGTCAATTTTTGATCTTGTTTTTACTTAAACATCAAAATGAACATCAATTTTTACAATTTTTACTTAAACTAGATCAATTTTTACAAAAGTGTCAATTTACTTAAACCACCAGATCTGAAGACCACAAAGAAAGCATTCTAACTTGAAGTGCTAAATCCATAGATGCATCAAGCTGGAAGGCAAAATTAACATCCTTCCCTCGAACTCTTTTGATTGAAGCGTATCGTCCTTCAATTCCAACCAAAGAAGACAGAAGATCATCAATCACAATCAATTCCTGCATATCAAAAGAACACAACACTGTCAATAAGTTACTAAACAGATAATGGCACGCAACAATATACTTCTGGTCAACCATATTTTGCAAAATAAGGTCCAAATAAATTGAATTTTTATTAAATTTTAAAATTTTCAAAAAGTTGTAGTCAAATAAATCTAGATAGAAAAAGAATAACAATAATCTATGCATCTAAAACTTTTCTAGGCATGCCTTCACAACCAAATGGATAGCAGCCCCAAGACAAATAAATGAACACACAAGCCTATGGTCCATGAAGGATCTCAAGAAGGATACAAGTTTCATCAAACAATATGTGTTAGTTACAATGATAGCTTTTCAGGCAATGGGCAACCATTAGAACATTATGAAGTGCCACCTTCCAGGTACAGGATCCCAGGAAAGAATACAAGTTTTGACTAAAACCAACACTTCATGCCCCCAGAATTTCCTAAGGAAAAGTAAGTAGGTATCACTAAAATTTATGAAATAAAGTGCTGAGATCATGTAAGTCACTCTGGTTATTTGCTGCGCCTCTAATTTGTTATGCAATGGATCTTATTTGAAGAATGGGGCCTTGGTAGCAGTTCTGTTGGCTGTCCAAACTCCCTAGTAAATGAGATTCATGAAGATCTTTCTTGGGGGAAAAGATTAGATGTATTACTTAAAAGAGAAGACATCACAATTCTGTTTACAGTGCCTGACACAGTTATAGTTAAGTACTTAAGCTAGAGAAAAATAACTTATTTCCATTCTATAACCCATTAATTACAGTATCAAGAATCAACCCATTGAACTATGTTCAAAATAATCATCAACTGTAATTTATACATCCCATTTTCATCCCTTTCTTCAAACACTTCGTGCCCAACACACAATACTAATTGGGTTCCCAGGTCCGGTTACTCTAATCGGGGGCATCTGCGGCAGCGTTGTAAATTAAGAGCATGGAAAAGATGCTGAAGGGTAAATTTCATTGGGCCGTTAAACCTCCTTTTCATGTCATAAATAATCTATTTTGTTTCAGGTTTGATCAGACTAGATGCCATTGATGATCATACTCATTAGCCTCCTAATTTCTTGAAGGGTTCCTACTAATTATAATCTTATGTTTGATGATGAAGCTGGAATTTAATCATTGGACCGGTACTCTGACTTCAGATCCAGTAAGAGATAATCCCTTTAGAGAAATGTGGAGATTTGATTTTACAAAATTTGGACAATAGAGACTAGGGGATTTGGGTACAAGGTGGCTAAGTGATACTACTGAGCTTAGATGTCATGGATAACTTCACATAATTATATTATTTGGAGTAAGAGAAACTTTAGGGAAGTAGGATGCAAAAATTATTAGTATTAGTTATTATTTTTATTAGATCGAAAAGTGTATCGGAGAAGCATTACAGGCACTCTTAGGATGAATGATATATTTGGACCAACTATCAGACTATCAAACTTGTGAAGCATGCTATGTGCAATTGATGTATGCTGATTAAAATGAAGGAGAGAGATTTAAGATTGCATATGCGAGGAAACATGTTTTTACTCTTCAAACAATGAATATCCAAGAAATATCATTTGTATGAAACGAACACTATTAAGTTGATAATTTCACAACAGATAAGTGGAAGGAAAAGTCAAAATACATTGGAATATAGATGCTTTATCTCAATATGTTTGTGTCATTCTTGCGCATGATCAGTGCTAATCTTCTCTTTATGCTTTGAAATGTTGATTATCCAAAAAACATCATGAGTATGAAACAAGCACTATTCAAGTGATAATTTCAGGACAAACAAGTGTCAAGGCAAGTCAAAAATAGGATGCCAGTATGAATACTAGAAGGGAAATGCTAAAGTTGAAATATATGTAAAAAATGTATTGAAATATGTAAAAAATGTATAAAAATATTTAACAATATATAAAACATGTAAGATGTGTATTACCATTCTATTTTTTATTTTATTTTATTTTATTTTTTGCATTATTTGATCCATAACCAACACCCCATTGGGCTGTGGCTAGCAGAGTCCATTCTAGAAATGGACTTAAGAGTGGCAAGATGAAAGAACAGTTAAGGAGATGTTTTTGGCCTGGGGTTGGACCATTCCAATCAAGGGCAATAAGATTGAACATCAATATACTGGGAGAGGAAATGCAATGCTAAAGTGAAATGTTGATTCAATCATTCAACAGAAAAAAAGCCGTAGTTGAAGGCCTCATACTGCTTTCAAAATTCTATTCTCTCTTATTTTCTACTAAAGCTTTTATGAAAGATAAAATAGTTTAAGAAACAGGGTAGAACAAATCGCTGCTGAATCGACCTCTCCGAAAAAGAAAAAAAATATTGAAATAGAGAAAATGACATATATATAAACTACTAACAAGAACTAAAAAACAGAGACAAATCTAAAAGATTGATCATATTGAAGATCTACGTGCACATCAAACTTCAACAACAACAAATCACAAACAAATCATCAAGCTAGATAGGTCATATTCAACTTTCATTGCAAAAATAGAATCAAAAACCACAATTCATAGCTTTCATACGCCAAATCAGATCAGTTTTATTAAAGCTAAACCAATACAAACAACACACAGATTGAAATAGAGAAAAGAGAGATTGAAATTGATCGAACCTTTAGACGAAATCGAAATGCTTGAAGCTCTGAGATGGCGTAGAGATCAAGCACCGAGAGAGAGAGAGAGAGAGATAAGAGGCAGGAGAACCGTCGTAGGATTAGGGTTTGATAAGAAGAGAGATCAATCATGGAATAGAATGAAGGGGTAGTGTATGTACCTGAAGGATGAGGTCGTCGTAGATATCGATGATCTTGTTGTAGGATTTGGAAGCCATTGTGTCGCTGCGGATCGCTCACAACGGTCAGATCTTGGCCTAGGACTCAAATCTAATTCAGATCTCGACGATCTTCTCAGATTCGGCGGAGGCATATGCGGAGGAGAAGGAGGAGGATCATCGACGATGTAGATGTGGCGATCTGTGGCGATGGGGTGAGGTTTGGCGGTGGAGGAGAATTTGAACAAAATGTTGTGTGTAATTGTAAACAGAGAACAGGGGTGGACGCGTAATTTCCCTCTAAAAAAATTTCGCCTTTAACGACTAAATTCGTTTTTTGTCGCAAAATCTCAAATATATAACGACTAATTTTTTTAGTCGCCAAATCTCAATCAACGGTGACTAAAATATTAGTCGCTAAAAGTACTAATTTGGCAACTAATTTTGTTTGGTTGCTGAAAATAAATTTTTGGCGACCAAATTTTTGGTCGCCAAAAAATATGTGACCTTCCACGACCAAATTTATAGTTGGTCGGCAAAAGCATACCACTTTCTGCAACCAACTCATTTTTTTGTCACCAAAATATAACCTTCTGCGACCAATAATATTTGGTTGCCATAAATAATGATCATTCACGACTAATTAATATTTGGTCACCAAATGTCATTTTTTTGCGACTAAAATTTTTTGATCGGCAAAAATGATCGCAAAATGTGTAAATTCTTGTAGTGATTACTTTCTTTGTACTCCTAGCTTTTCAAATACCACTACATTTATTTATTTATTTTTAAGTTGGGTTCGTCGCATACACAATCATTGTTAAATATATATGCACATTCAATTTTATAAATACACAACTGATATTTAGAAAATGCTATTTATACATAAAATTTATACAAAATAATTATAAGAATAATAATAATGTGATAAAATCATTTTGGTAAATAAATATCATTGTTGTAGATATTTTATTTTAAAGTGAACGGTATATATTGAGCCATATTATTACATACAAAAATTTTGTATAAACTTTTTGTTTACATTTTATAAAGCTTAAATTTGCTTTAATGATAAAGATGGTTACCAACTCGGTGTTTAGGGATACTATTCACAAACTCTCCCACTTGCATGTATTAAAATCTTTTGGTGAAGATGCAATGCACATGGCTGGATTATTTTCTTTAAATTTATGATCATGTTATATTTTTTTGCTTCTTCTTTTTCTTTTTGCCTAGGGGTTTTAAACATTGCCAAATGCATTTGCAACTTTATGCAAGTTGCATTAAATAAACCATGTTTGCATAAAAAATAATTAAAGAAGACCAGCCCCAAAATAAAATAAAATAATAGAAATTCATCAAAAAGTCATTTTTATCAAGCACTAGTACAAAAATGAATGGGTAGGAATTCAATTCCATTTTTCTTTCCTTTCCTAGTGATTTAAATATTGGAGAATTTTACTATATATATAGTGTATGTGATATCCAGTCACTTTCAGTTATTGAATTTAAAATAAAATGAATGTTATGGATTGGTGATGTTATATAGAATTGTAACAAATAGTAACCGTTGATGATTTAGATCATAATTTATTTATTACAAAAAAGAACAAAAAATTGTGTATTTTAATTGAGTAATGAGATATAAATAGAGTTCATAATGATGCAATAGATTTGTAAACATCATTTTAAAACAAAAAATCCATCAAGATATTTATAATATTAAAGTTGCTACTGATACATCATTTTAATGCATGATTTTATATTAAAAAATTAGAAATAACAGGATTTCTCATTGGATAAGGCTTTCCTCCAATTTGTTGATGGTGTTGTTGGGCCTCCATGGAACCATCACGAAGTTATATCAATGATCCGAACTACTCATATTGAAGGGCTCGTCGAGAAGATCATCTTTACAAAAAATAGATTAATCAAAATACTATAGATGCATTATTAGATTGCATTTGCTTTCAAATAATAAATAGTCTATAATCAAAATTATAAATGTTCATTTTTTTCTATGACAAATGTAATATAAACATGTGATAATAGTTGTCCAAACAATCTCAATTTTTGTTTTACAAAAATAATCTTTTCTATGAACCTCTTAAAGTAGGTCTCATGGTGAGCCCACAAAAATCCAACAACACGTCCAGTTGCTTTTCCCTACTGGGGAGAAGTGAATCCCTCTTTCAATATAGTATGATGTAAACATAATATAATATGATAAATTATAAATAAAGGTTTAATTAAAATATTAATTATTCTTTATAATTTTAAAAATTACATCCCATTTTTTATAATTTTTAATTACATAACAAATAGCTCATTTCATTAATTAAAAATTAAGTCAATTAATTATTTTTAATGATGTTAATAATATATTTCAATTAACAATTCTGGTATTCATTATTGTATAAAAAGAATAATTAAAAATTTTATTCTTTTATGTCAACTTATTAAATAACAAATTTTAATAATGAGATATTTATAAAAACTAAAACCATAGAAAAGCAGTTTGTATTTTAAGCATATTTGTAATTTACCCATGAAAAAAAAAAGGTTGGAATACCTAATCTAGGTTTTAGGTGCTCAAGATCCAATCAGAAACAAATTGCTTTGTATGGACCAATCATTTGTTACCAATTATAGGAATATGTATAATTATACTATGTTTTAGTTGTAGCTCCATAAGACATAAATGCCCTTCCTTGCACAGCATAAGATTCATTGCAAACCAAGGGTATTTTTGTCATTTCAATTGTTGGCATACCTTTTCTCTTCTTATCATTTCCGTCTCTCACTGAGACAGAGTACTCTGCAAACATAAACCCTATTCCCTTTCTTTCCTCTGCTTAATCTCTTCATCATTGGCTCGATTGATTCGAATTCTCGATAATTGAAGGCTTTAAAATCAAACCCTTTTCAGCATAATCTTTCTTTCACTGAATTCTTGGTTTTCTGGGTTTCTCCATGGTTGCAAAATTAGGGCTGTTTCAAGGTAAGTCCCTCTTTTTCAGATTCCAAATTTGTCATTTCTATAAAAGGTTTCATTTTTTATTGGACAGATTCTGAATTGAACATGTTATGAATTGTCTGTTCTTATATTATGTGTTAGTGTTGAGCAATTAATTTGTCCTTTTTTTTGTGTGTGTGTGTGTGTGCTTGTTTTGATACGATATGCTGAAAGTTTCAATTCATGTTTCTTCATTTATTCATTCTTGTTTAGAGACTATGGGGAAAAAATGATAATAATTGAGAGATATAGATATCACCTTTGCTTGGGATTGAAATGTATATACCATGATGTCCATAAGCTTGAGTTGATGATTTTTCTGTCATTGCATAACTTGAACAATGTAATGGACGTTAATCAGAGCGGCGTAGGCACCTATTGCAATGCCATATGAACGCAGCACGGTTTTTACTTGTCAGTTTCAAAGCTACTAGGTCTTGTTTCATTGATATTATTGTATGCAAAATTTCTCTTTATGGGTTAAAGTCATTTGCCATGTGGAATGCAAGTTGGATAGAGAAACATAACAAATGAAGTTCTTCTTTATTTCATTTTCCTTTGTTTTAACTTAATGTTTTCTCCTTCATCCAACCATCATTTTGTTTTTCTACTCCTTTAGTAACCTTCAGTGATGTCACTTGTTGCACTAGAACAATATCCACCTGAGTCTTGTATATGCATTGTTCCACAAACAAAGCATTCAAACCAAATAACCACTATGATTCGAAAGGTTTTCTCTGGAAGAACTGAACATTTCAAACCAAATGACCACCTATGCCATATAGCCTCATTGCAAACTGTTGATTATTTCATGACCTAGTCAGATTTAAATAATTCTTCTTATTTTCAGATGTATAATTAGGTCACAAAAGTAAGGCAATATATAGGAATTTTTTCTTTTGTTGACTAGCCAAGACAACAAGAATTGAGCCCCTCACATCAAAGTTGAGAGACCAACCAAATACCATTTGGCCTACAAGGCCAGTGAATAGTGTAGCACCTAAGAACCTACTGCAAAAAATATCTATAGCTTTGGTCATCTGTGTACACTGAACAACATGGCATTAAATGTCTGTGCTGCTGTATCATTTAGGTTGTTGATCTTTCCACTCTTACATAATTGAGAACTATTCCTCTTCATTTTAATGACCGAACATGGTTTTGAGCAAGCTTGAAATTGCTCTGAGTTGTGTAGTTTGAACTACTTTTGGCTGTAGATATGTTCGTACCTATAAACCTGAGTTTATCTTTGTATTATGCCATTGATTAAGTATTTCACCAAGTTGTTTTTGGCTCTTGAAGCTGGCTTAGTGTTAAGCCATGAACAGAGCTGCTTATGCAGTAACCTCCTCATGCTTCCCACCATGTATAACATGTTTATTTTGGTTGGTTTGCTAGAAACTCTGGCGATTCAAGCTGACATGTATAACATGTTTATTTTGGTTGGTTTGCTAGAAACTCTGGCGATTCAAGCTGAAACCGGAGTCCCCCTGATAATTTCGTGGTGCTTAAGAACTGAAAAGGGGGAAGCAAGGAGCTTTTGCCATTCTTATCTCTCACCTATAAGATCACAAGATGGTGTTGCAATGACACTAGTCACTTCGAAAGCGAGAGGTCTAGCCATGTTTATCAAATTGCTGAGATAGATCGACCCTTTGAATACCAATCAAGAACACATAAGGGAAACTTTGTTTTTGAGAAGTCTTTAAGAGATAGGTGAAACCTCACAGGAAGAATTGAGTTCTAGAACTTGCACATACAAGTCATGTTACACTGTTGAATGACATGCCTTCAATTTCTCGATTTCTATTTATGAGAATTTTGTTCTTGTTGGGAGTCCCTAATGATTGAATAAACCTAGATTTTACTATGACATGATAGTATGTAGTTTCTTGGAAGGACCAGCATGCTGCTGTAAATATGTCTTGCCATTTATCTTTTCAATTGGTTATTTGTCTTATTTTTTATGTTTATTTTAGAACTAGTTTTGCTTTGAACTAATCAGAGATGATTATTTATGGGGCTTTCCCCCCCTTCCAGTCACTTGCCAATTGGGAGGGGTACTCTTTCAACTGCATAAAGCATGAAATTTATTGGATTTCTTTCTTACACATGGACAAAGCCAATGTAGCCAAATCTTACAAGCTTGGTGACAGGAGTACAAGTGACATCATTGTACGCTTGAGAAATGAAGAAGGAAGACCTGAAGTAATCTACTCTCATTCGTTTATTCTTAAAACTAAGAGCAAGTTTTTTGCTGAAAAGCTCTGCCAAACGAACCCTATTTCTTGCATTGAGGTTCATTGCTCAGATTATGATTATGATTATCATGTTGAACTTTTGAGGCGTCTGTATCTTCCTGAAGACTCACTTTTGGACTCCTGGGATTCTGTTAGATCTGCTGTTGGAATTCTTCAGGTTGCAGCTACCTTATACTGTGAAGAGATTACACAGAGCTGCATTCAGTACTTGGAGGCTGTCCCTTGGGAGGACAAGGAAGAGGAAGAGATATTAAAAGCGGTTTCGAAACTGGGTCCAATAGCCATGCCCATATTGGCCAGGATTCAACCCGTTGATTTAAATGCCACAAAAAATGTTTTCTTGTCTGCAATTCGCTTTGCCACTTCCATAGGTGGACCGTGCCCTCCGTTTGGTGATGAGCTGAAAACTTCTGCTCAAGAACAAGTTGAATACATGCTCGGGGAAGATGAAGACACCCCATTGGTTATGGCCGATGAGGAAGTTAAAACAGAGGTAAGAACAGGTCTTTTGAAGATTTGCTTATCGTTTGAAACGGGCTTGTCTTCCCTTCTCTTGGAGTCTGATGATCTCATATCTAAGACAGCAGAGAATAGAGTAATACAGAGTCTAGCTGACCTAGAATGGATGTGTACTATACTCCCAAAAATGGACTTAATGAAGGATTTTGTGGCTAACTGGGCAGAAATTTCTGGTAATATCTTGAGGGTTGTTGAAGACAAGAAACTTGATTCGCTCATGTGGGGTTTTAAAGTGAAGCTAATAGAAGTGACTGCAAAGGTCTTGGAAGCAGTCGGATATGGAAATGTAATTCTTCCATCACCATGTCGGGTGCAATTGCTAAAAACATGGCTCCCGTATATAAGGAAGATAAAGCCTCTTCTGGATTCGATGGGGGACGAGGACACTGGTTTTCCTTACAAGATGGATGAAGAGCTTTGTCAGAGTGTTGAAGGGGCAATTGTGTCATTGATACTGGCATTGCCATCAAATGATCAAGCTGATATTCTTGCTGATTGGATGAAAGCTGAGCAGGTGAGGTATCCTGACCTGAGCGAGGCCTTTGAGTTATGGTGTTTCAGAACCAAGTCCTCAAAGAGAAGATTACTCGAGGGCTTGGATAGTGTTGGCGAGGACAGTGCCACTCTTAGCCTTGATTTGTCACACTGATTTTGTTATGAGGTTAATTTTGTAAGATGGGTAGTTGGTGATGATTCCACCATTGTATGATGATTAAAGTGAAGCTTTTTTATTTTTATAATTTTGGTTTCATTTTGTTGTAGCTTCTAAATGCTTCAATGATATGTCTACAGGTTTGTACTCTTTTAACATGTGAAACACCCAACTTAAAAATATGGAGTTTTCTTGTTCACATGAAAGCTTGATGGGTGTCCTAAATAAGTGTATTTTTTATCTTTTTGGACTAAAAAATTGAGGTTGAAAATATGGATGTTTGGGTTAACTTTTTGACTTTTTATAGAAAAATGTGTAATAAAAAATTATAAAAATTGATTTGTAAGGAAAAATTCGAATTGAGAGTTGTGCAACTGTAATTGTTGACTTTTGGTGAATAGTGTTAACTTTTTAACTTTTTAAGTAACTTTTTGTCTTTTTATCTTTTTTGAAAGATCCCAAACTTGCTCTAAAAAAAAATACCTAAAGATCAGACCTTGTATTTGTAATTCATATAACAGAAATCAAATGCATTTTACATTTGTAAGCTGCATGGGTAGGTATTGTACAATTTCTTATCCTCTCTCAATGTAATGGCACATCAATAGTTGAATTTTGTTTGTTTATTAATGGCATACTATCTAATTTAGTAGCTGTGTCTTTTGTTCTTTTTTACTTATTTATATTTTATTAATTTTATTTTTGGGACTAGTAGCTTAGCTTTTGTTAGACTTACCAATCATGGTTGGCTAACTATTGGCATCAGACTATTTTTATCGAATTTTCAATTTCAGTAACAATAGTCTCCTAATTTTGTGATCCTTCAATTCTGCATGTAAGCTAGTGTTTGATTCACTAGAATGTAGTGAATCGGAATAATTTTTGTATTAAAACGTCTATTTTCTTGTTTGGTTGACTAGAAAGTTTATGAAAATTACATTGTAAATGAAAGTGTTATTCACTATTACTTTAGAGGAAAGCTTAAAAAATGATCATTTCATTTCATTTTATCTCGTTTCAGTGAACTAAATAGAGGAGTATTGGGGGTATCAGTAGAGATTTGTATAAATGGATTGCTAAAGGATTTTTTAAGGATTAATAGCCCTGCTTGGGGTGGGTTTAAAATAGTTAAAAACTCTTATAAATTATCAAATCATTTTCTCTCTATATTTTTATTTTAGAATAAATTATAAATACATCTCTGAGATTTGCTTAAAATATAGATTGCCCCCTATGGTTTGAAAAATTACAAATATCTATTTGTTAGAATTTTTTATTTAATAGATTTAACTGAAAAAATAAAATTCATAATTGCTCTCCTATATAATTATAAAATTACCTAAATTATTAATTGAAACATATTTCTAACATCATTAAAAATTGTTAATTGACTTGCTGATTTATTAATAAAAGGGGTGATTTGTTATGAAATTAGAAACCTCAGGGGGTAGAATGTAATTTTCAAAACCACATGGGTGATCTATATTTTAATTAAATCCCAGGGAGTGTATTTGTAATTTATCCTTTATTTTATTTATTTGTTTATTTTTGTATATCTTTGTGATTTGGGGTAAAAATAATTTAAATAAATTAAAAAATCATTATTATTTTTAAATTTAGAAGAAGAGTGTTTTTATATTTTACGTATAGAATTATATGGATGGAGATCAACACTTGCAAAATTGACTTGGCATAGTTGTGAAAACAAACCAAAATTTTTTTACAGCTTCTTTAGTTTCTTCATTTTTCATTATTTTTAGTTTTAATTTAAGGACTTTTGAAGACTTCAAAAGAAAGGAAAAAAAAAAATTGAAAATTTTGATTAAAAACGATATAAATTTAAATGTGTGTTTGGTTATGGAAAGAAATATTTTTGAAAGTAAAGTTTCAGATATATGTTTTCATTTTTTATTTTTTTTTTAAAACTAGAAATGAAAACTTGTTAGTATATGTTTTTATTTACATAAAAATGCAATTGATTCCAAAATTTTTGTTAAAAAAAAGAAAAAAGAAAAAAAAAGAGAAGCATTTTCACATGTTTTGAAGACAAGTTTTCACTCTCTTCTCCCTCTCCCATCACCTCCTGCCATCATCCACGGCTACTATTAGCCACTTGCCACCACCATTGACCACTGCTAACAGCCAACAACCCTTCAATGAGCTCTGTCCACCTTTCGATTTTGGCAAGAATAGTCATCGCATGTAACCTCTGATGAAACCCCAGTCACCAATTATGGGGACCGCCTCCAGCCACCCTTATCATTGGTGTCACATCCAACAACTAACTAAACATGTTTTAGACTATCTCCAACGTTGCACCAGATTAAGCATCAGATTTGAATTTGATGAAAAAAGTCACTTTTTCTGTCTCCAATGGTTTCACCAAACTGATATCAAACAGAGAATGGATCAAAAATTTCATCAAACTGAGGATGCGCCTAAGATTTCACTAGTTCACTGTTTGTTAACGTTGGAGGCGGGGCCCACCAGTCAACCGGCCAGACGTCCAGCCGGTTAACCTACCAGTAGGAATGGCAACGGGGCGGGGCGGGGCCGGGGACCACCCTCCCCGTCCCCGATCCCCGATGGCCAAAACTTCCCCGTTCCCGGTCCCGATCCCCGACGGGGAACCTGTCACAGTCCTCATCCCCGTCCCCAACGGGGATCGGGTTTCCCCGACCCCGAAAAGTCCCCGATCCAACTCTGTTTCAACATTCAACACCATCAACAGATAAAAAAAAAAAAAGAATAACAGATCATAAAAAAAAACAGATCTGTTTCAACATTTAACACCATCAACTCTGTTTCAACATTCAACATCATCAACATAGATCAACAAAAAAAATAACAGATCAAAAAAAAAAAAAATTTACAGATCATCAACAGATAAAAAAAAAAAATTACAGATCATCAGATCAAAAAATCAATAACAAATAAAAAAAAGAATAACAGATCTTACAGATCTGAGCTGATGAGGGCGGCGGAGGAGGATATCGACGGAGGAGGGCGGCGGTGGAGATCGGCGAAGGAGATCGGCGGTGTTCCTTCTCTGCTTATAAATCAATGTTGGTTTGAGGTTGGTTTGAGGTCTGTGAGTGATCTAAGGAAGATAGAGAGAGAGGAGAGTAAATACAGTCTGTGAGAGATCTGAGGAAGATAGAGAGAGAGGCGAGTAAATACAAATGAATAAAAGATGATGATGAAAGGGAGGGAGAGAGAGAGAGAGGAACGTTGAATCAAAAAGCATATATATATAATAAAAGATGATGATGAAAAAGAGAGACCCAGGAGTCTTGAATCAAAAAGTATATATATATATATAATAAAAAATGATGATTAAAAAGAGAGAGAGGAACATTGAATAAAAAAGTATATATATATAACACTTCAGGGGGACAAACGGGACGGGGTCGGGTCGGGCCAGGCCGGGCCGGGGTTGAAACATGTATCACTGTCCCTGGCCCGAATGTCATCGGGGATTTATTTTTTAATACCATTCCCGGCCCGTCGGGAGTATTTTTCGGGGAAAAACCATTCTTATCGGGGACGAGGGGTCGGGTCCCCGTCGGGCCGGGTTCAAATTGCCATCCCTACCCACCAGTCGACCGGCGCATGCAACCTACATTGGTTTTTTGGTTCAATCTGCTTCAGTTTTGGGGAGTCGAAACCCATATATATATATATATATAGAGAGAGAGATAGAGAGAGAGAGGGGCAAATAGAGAGAAGCAGAGCACCATTGGTTTTAGGGAGTCGAAAAGGAGGTCAAGTGCGGGTAGGGTGAGATTGAGAGAGAGCTGAGACAGAAGTAGTTTGGGAGGGGGTTTGTTGAGACTGTTTCTTTTGGGCGTACAAAGCAGATGAGGAAGGCCAAAGGAGTATCTGATTGTTGAGGCTATATCTTTGGCGTTTGCTAAACAACCTAGTCCCATTTTAGAGGGAAGAAACTAGGGCTAGGTTTTCCATTGTCGGCTACCAGATATCAAAATATAGCTCCTAGTATGTTAGTCTTTGTAGAGGGAGAAGAAAACTAGAAAGAAAGACAGAAGTAGAGAAGAAGATGGAGGAGGAATATTTATCAAAAAAAAAAAAGAAAAAAGAAGAAGATGGAGAAAAAAAGAAGAAGAAAAAGATGGAGGAATATTTCAAGAGGCACTAACCGGTCAACCGGCCGGTCGTCCCACCGGACGTCCCCTTTATTTTGATGGACGTTACAGTGTAACGGTTGGAGCAGCTCGTTTCAGATTGAGGAAATTGTTTTTTTTTTTTTTACTCAGATTTGGTGAAAAATTTGCTTCACCATTAGAGATGCTCTTACTATCTGGATTTTTGTTTGTTCTCAAAACTTTTGTATACATCAATGAAGTTTTTTATTTTTTAATAAAAAAAAACTAATAATATTATCAAACGACAATGAAACACTAAAATTCACTTTATATTGCTTGAGAATGAGATGCTAAAGTTCGCTTTTTATTACTTTTCTACGAATGAATCAAACTAGCTTAACCCATGGATGAGAGCAATTCTAATGATCAAGTTGAAAGGCTTGCTAAAGTTAAAAAATGGCTAAGTTTTACAAAAATTCCTCTTTAATGGTGAGTGAAATTCATTGTCAAAAAATGAAAAAAAATAAGATCTTGTGCTCTTACTTTCTGTTATAAAAATAAAATAAAATATTGTGCTAAATTCAGCTCAAAATTTGGCAAGTCATTTTTTGTTACATCAAATTTTCTGATAAAAACCCAATTGTTTTTTCCTACTTGAGTTCTCTACTTTCACAAACCAAAACTCACAACTAAAAATTCTAAAACTACATAATTTTTTTTTAAGACTTACACAAACTAAAAAATACTAAAAACTATAATTATTATCATTTTTTCTTCAAATAAGTAATTTTGTCTTCTTATATGTTCATTTCATATTATATTTGTAGAAGCTAAAATTCTTGAAATTACTCAAAGCTAGAAAGTGTCATTAATGTATATGAAATTGAGGGTTTTCAATATCATGTACACATGAAAATAAATTTGAAATTGTAAGGTTCATGAAGATTAGGTAGATTGGTATGAATATGTTGCGTGACTCCATTTAGGAAAAAAACATGAAAATAAGGGGGCTTTAGGTTGTGGTTGCCCTATCATGAAATTGGAAGCATATAAATGAAATTGATTGTATATGTGAGTTCATGATAGCAAGAAT